ATTAGTCATATAGCCACTGCCTCGATCACTGCTAACACTCGTTGGCATAGGCTACTAGGGAGGTTTGCTGGTGTCCGGTAGACAGTCTGAAACGTTTAGTTAGGATCGCCTCGCCGCTTAGTACCGACTAGATGTAGGAGAATGGAATTCGAATTCGATCTATTTTCACCTCCACCTAGTCAGGCAGGTATTTGTTCACGTGCCCTCCTTTCCAGACGCCTCGGTGTACGGCCAATGCACCTCGCTCTACAGGAACAATAAAACGGGTTTATATACACAGATGCAGTATGCAACGGCAGTCGATATTTACGTCACCGACGTAGGAGGGAAGAGTTCGTATAGGTTCGCCACGTGGACTACACTCGTGCTCGTTGTTTTGCCAGTTCGTTCTCTGCCGCTCCTACAAAAAGCAACCTTATAACAGAGAGTTAGTGGTGTGCCTCGAAGGTATGGAACAATTGCGATAACTGAGAAATCAGTGGCAATAGGGACCCTGAAGTGTAACTGAGTGCAATGCTTGAGCAATGAAGGCGATTCGAATTCGGGCATCTTATCTACCTATCCCTCCTCAGTCTTTGCAGGGGCATAGACTATCCAATCATTTTGGATTTGGCGTGTTTGACGTGAAATTTTGAAGGCAATACAGAATGTCAGTTCGAGAAATACTCAGGAGTAGTTGCATATCAGGGCCTTCCCTCTGTTCACTGGCGAAATTTTTATAACTTGTGAATTTTGGTTTATGCATTGTTGTGCTCTCGAAATGCTTACACGGATGAGTGCTTCGATTCGACTATATGCACCCGTCGTCAGTTCACAAAATAGAGATTGACGAGGAACTTATCGTGACCTGGAATCAGATTTTTGGTTAATAGTAGGCTGCTGAGACATCGCATCCTTGCCCATGTCAGATGAAGTCAGTTTTTGGAGTGTCAGAAAAACGGCCGGTAACAATCTTAAATAGGGAACAGCACGCCCTTGTTTACTTTGCGTAACTGTCTACTTATTTCGTAGTAGTACACATGTTTTATTCTGATACGTTGGCTTCGGCTGTGTTACTTATCACGTCCTTGGCAATCCCATTTAATATTTGTAATGACTCCTCAATGGAAATTTGTACTAAGTTCTGCACGTATTCCCATGCTAAACTTTAAAAGTCAGCTCGGCCAACATATGTCTTCAGAAGTTCATCATCGGGCCTATACAACTGCGTAGATGATTAAACTATGAGGGTTGGACAGGCTTTATGGTTAATGCTCCTCCTTTCACGTCGCCCGCATGGCGAGGTCGGTATGTCGAAGTCATTAGGACTGGGAGAGGGGTAAATTAGAATAGGCACTGAGTAGTGTTCACAGGATGAGGATGCGGTGTGGATGTCACTATCAGGTGCGAAGAGGGAACAACGGTCATCAGGGGATGTGGGCGAAATGCGATCGCTATCTGACGTCGGCTTCGACCACGGATGAGAAAGCGCCTTATTAACGTCTTCTGACAACACAGCATCGAATTTGCTAGCCGTATAGCCACTGCCTCGGTTGTTGTTAACGCCCTTTTGATGTAGATCCTTAGAGGAGTTGGCCGGTATCCTATAGACATCCCTTAAGGCTTCGTTGAGATCGACTCGGTGATTACTATGGATCACGTGTGTGAGAGTAGAACACGAAATCGGCCTAGTTTCACTTGTACTCATTTGTTCAAGTACCCTCTTTTCCAGACTCCTCGTTTTTCGGTCAATATATATTAGCCCTTTATTTCCATCAGCATTAGCTTGCAAACATTATTTAACTAGAAGTATCTTAGACGAGTTAGAATTTCGCGTAACTAGCGTAAGTTGGCTTGCAAATCGGATAAATTTTCTCGCGGATAATCTGTTTGCTTGTGAACATCAGGACAGCCTATCATAGAAACCAGAACATAATTTTAAATCGTTGCCATGGTGTACGCATGGTAAGCCCTGTAAGAAAGACAGCACTGTCTAAAGCGAAGACAACCATCTAAAACACCCAAATTGTTGAACTTTTTAATCTCGGAGGTATCCAATCACTCGTAAAAAGGCATGAATTAGACACAGCTGTCTGTGGATTAATTAACGGTAAATTAACTGCCGGAAATATGTTGATTTTCTTGTTTTATACTGCTATAATTCCAATGTGAGTACCTAACGTTTATTATCGTATTAGGTAAGCGGCTAACATTTGTAAACACTTAGATATTCCTTGCATTTCTTGTCAATTTTCGAACAAGTGCAAACTATCCTCCTCCATATAAACTGCAGGAGACATGGTAAGTCAGTCTGCTTCTAGATCATTGCACTTTAAGTTTGGCTAATTTCGATAGGTTCTAGCAAATATGTCATAAAAACGGGTGTTTTTACAGAACTGCCGGTTCCGCAGATGCGGACAAAAGCTTTTTTTGCAACAACACCCAACCCTCGCATAGGGATTCCCTAATGCCAAGAGTAAAATTTAGCGCCTAACCCCTCTCAAGGACAACCTTTTTAGGTGGCCTTGGGCACGAGGGATTCAGTTTTGTCTCTGCCAGTCCCGGTGTTCAGACAAGCGCGCAGGTCATCGACCAAATGCTCACAATGATCTCGGAGGTGCGAACAGAATTTCGCTCTCGTCTACCCTCCCGCCGCGAGACCTGCTCTGTGAACGCGGCTGTGCACATGGCCGCTGCCTTCACAGGCCTGATCGGTGTTCATCTGCCCAGGTTTGTCGACATTACAACTATGCCAGCCAAATAATTACTTGACAGTTCATGCAGACTTCGAATAACTATATCACATTAGCTACCCCAACTCATGAAATGTTAAGGTCGAAATTTTGATTGGGTGGTTTAACACACAAGCGGGGTTGCCAGTGCAAACGAACATACGAGTCCCAGAAAGTAATTGAGAGGAGGACGATTCAATCGCTGGGACAATACCTTTTATTCACCTGATGTTTCGATATCCGTTGCGGATTCTTCATCAAAGACAGGATCGGGAGGCAATGGCAGAAACGGGTCTGCTATTGGGCAACAGTAGCTTATGTAGCCCCACTCATTAATCCCTACAACCTGC